ATTTTTTATAAATTACAAATAATATAACTAGTATAATTAAAAATTATATTTTAAATTTAATCTTGGATTCCAGTAAGTTGATTGTGTTATCTTGGATTATTTTATAAAAAGTACTTTAATTTATAATATAATTTTTAATTATTTAATTTATAATTATTTAACTTAATTATACTAGTTATATTATTTTTAATTGATTTACATATTATGTATCACAAAAAATGTGTTGTTAATCCCAAATTCAAACCTATCATTTCACGATCAAGACTTAACTATTCTCAAATGATTTGTTGTCATTTTTAGTTGATTCACATGTTATTTCATATGTTAAATAATTTAATTATTTAATTTATAATTATTTAACTTAATTATACTAGTTATATCATTTTTAATTGATTTACATGTTATGCACCACAAAAAACGTATTGTTAATTCCAAATTCAAGCTTATAATTTCACGATTAGAACTTAATTATTTTCAGATGAATTGTTGTTATTTTAATTGATTTACATGTTACTTCATATGTTATATATCATGAAAAAAAATGTGTTGTTAATCTCAAATTTAAACTTATTATTTTCAAATAAATGATTGTTACGAATTAAAGTCAAAGTGAAAAAATTAACTAGTATGCTTTTTGCATTACTATGTTAAAAATCTATTAGTAATGATGGTCATAAACTCATAATTCCTTTTTTATTGGACAAATGACCATTTGGTGGGGGGATTTGATCCCACCCCACTACTTTCCTCACAAACTTCCCCCCTTTGGCCAAAAAAAGAAAAAGGAAAAATCTTGCCAGCACCCACAACGCCATTGATGGCTGGTACCAATCGTGGTTTCTAGCAAGAGGACGAAATCTTTTTTTCTAAAAAAAAAGTAGCATTTTTGTCATTGTTTTTGAATTTCAAAATACCAATATGAGTTTGCTTTCTTATGTCATTTTTAAATGCTTGGTGCCTAAATTGAAAAATACTAATTTCATGGTTCTTTTTTTGAAATTTTCTCAAAAAAATTACGTATAAATTATTAAATTTTAAATCAGATTATTTTCTGCATTTCAATAGTTTTGACTACACTTCACTTATAAATAACAACACATTTTTATCAAAAATCTTGATTTAAAATTTAGTAATTTCCATGTTCTTTTTTATAGAATTATCCCCTTTTTTTGGCGAGGTGTGAATTGAATTATTGCATCTATCTATTATATATTGAATAGAGTTAATATTATTTTTAGTTTCTAAAATTTGACCTCATTTTGATTTTAGTTCATGAAATTTGATGTAATTTTAATTTTCATACCTAAAATTTGATCTTTTTCAAAAATTAAAATTACTGGTTTCAAATTTTAGAGGCCAAAATGAGGTTAAATTTGAGTAACTAAAAATATAATATTAACCCTATTGGATATCTATTATGCATTCCATGTAAAAATAATTTTTACATACATATATTTTTTTGTTTTAAAAAAATTTAGTTGAGTTGGATTCGCTGACTCACTAGATCCAAGGCATTGCATGCATATATTTAATAGACAAGACAACAATAAAACTAAAATAATTATTTATTTATTTAAACAAATTTTACTCCCAATCTCTTGATTCATGAAAGAAACATAATATACCTATATTAAAATCTGAAAAATTAATAAATAACCATGAGTTTCAAATCCCTAAAATGTAATAACATCTACTGGCAATCATAAGGATCAAAGTGGGTAGGTGTGCGTATGAAGCTGTGTGGGTGCCCTCCCTTGTGTAGGGAGGGATTTAAATTGTTCTAGTGGAAAAAAAAATTTTATCGTAGGCTTTATTGTTATGTGTACTTTTTAGATAAAAAAAAATTGAATCATTTTAATAATTTTGGAAAGTTCATCTCCTGCTTCAACATATTATTTTCTGAAAGAGTGTTTTTCAACATTAACTGCATTTCTGGTTTCTGGTCAAAAAAAAAAAACTGCATTTCTGGTTTAAAAACACATACAACCGCATTAAATTCATGTCAACAGGGCCAGCCAAGTCACGGATCTTCTTTTCGAACAACGTCAATCATAATCGTAGAAGGGAAATAAACCAATTGTTGGGCTTTACTCAAACAGCGGACCTGGGGAAATATCTAGGGGCTCCGTTGCATGACCAAAAGGTCACTAAAGAGACTTATAAATATGTGCTTGAAAAAATGGATAGGCGCTTGACGGGGTGGAAGGCTAATACTTTATCTATGGCAGCCAGGCATACCCTCGTATCTTCAGTTGTAGCTGCTATCCCACAGTACACTATGCAAACAGTGCCCCTTCCACTGCATACGGCTAAGGAGATTGATAAACGATGTAGGAGCTTCATTTGGGGCAGTACTAATAACTCGAAGAAGATCCATCTTGTAGCTTGGGATGAAATTTGCAGATGCAAAGAAGAGGGTGGATTAGGTCTACGTAGTGCACGCAAACAGAATAAGGCATACATGATGAAGTTAGGTTGGGGCCTCCTGAAGAGAAGGGATGCCTTGTGGGTTAAATTCTTGAGAGAAAAATGTAAATGTGGTGGATATTTAATCCCTGAAGTATGTAAGAAGAGAATTGCTTCACCAACTTGGCGGGGAATTCAACAATCTTGGGAGTTAACAATGAATGGGTTAGAGTGGAAACTTGGTGACGGAGCTAAAGTTCGCTTCTGGAGGGACCACTGGTTACCTTACCATGACAAACTGTTAAACCATGCTGCCCATCGCATTCCGGAGAACCTACTGGATGACTATGTATCAGACTATGCCACGGCTTCAGGGGAGTGGAATTGGAACAAGTTTACTGGCTACCTCCCGAGTACAGTTATATCTAGTATTGCGAGATCATTTCCTACGGTGCCCAAGGAGAACACTGATGCATTGAGATGGAGGGGGACGTCAAATGGTGAGTTCTCGATTAGATCTACATGCCATATGCTGTGTAACCAGTCTCCGACACCTATTTGTTTCAGTTGGCAAAAATTGTGGAAACTCCCTGTATCACAACGATGCAAAACCTTCCTGTGGATATGTGCCAGAGGCCATTTACTAACCAACAGGCTACGCACTGCTAGAGGTCTACAATAAGATGATAAATGCCTGTTCTGTACTAGTAAAAGGGAAGACATCCTTCATGCCCTGAGGGATTGTGAGAGAGCGGTGGCTTGTTGGAAGATGCTTGTTCCCTGGGATCTTCATGATAAATTTTTGTCCTTCTCGGAGGTTAGAGCCTGGCTAGAGTGGAACATCAATCAAACAACCAGTGTCATGGGTGCCAAGTGGTGTATCTGGTTCGGTGTCATGAGTCGAAGGCTGTGGTTGAATAGAAACGAGGGCGTCTTCGATGGTAAATCACTGGCTCCTCGTCAACTCCTAGCTCAAGTTCAAGCTGCCGTGTCTTAGTCGGACTTCAAGCTATGGGAGTCTCAGCAACAGATGCACCGTACTGTGAGGTGGCAACATCCCTCGGTGGGGGTCATTAAATTTAATGTCGACGGATCCTTCAACCCCTCGAAGAATCTGTCTGCGTGTGGAGGCCTAGCTCGTGACCACAATGGCAATGTTCTTTCTGGTTTTTTTATTCCATATTGGCAGAGGGAGTAGCTTCCACGCTGAGGCCTGGGCAGTTTTTACGGGTCTGCGTCAAGCCTGGGAGATGAAGTGGGAAAAAGTGGTGGTGGAGACAGATTGCATGGAACTCGTGGAACTCATCAGAGATGGTTGGATGGAGGACCATCCAGAAAGAGAGCTTCTCGAAAGTATTCACGAATGGATGGAGAAACAATGGGATGCGAGTGTTGAGTGGCGTAGTAGAGAGATCAATCAGGCCGCTGACTGCCTGGCTAAGAGAGCGATGGAGGTTGACCAAGGCTTCGTCAGCTTCACATCCCCCCCGAATTTATTTTAAGTTTTTTACACTCTGATGGAAGCGCATGCTGCTAAGTACCATTCTTTCATCAAAAAGCATTGCTAGCTAGTTAACATCTCATGCTAGCACGAAGTGTAGAGGCTAACAATTTAAGCAAGCAGCTAAACCTCCTATTTAGGACTGGAGGTAGTAGGGAAAAATATCTGTGAAAACAAACTCATTAACGCATTAAGTAACATAATTAAAACGTTAAGCATTTTCTAGAGAAGTTGGGAGTGAACTTGACATGTTAAATTGAGTAGTCCTCTCGGACACTTGTTTAGGGGGGAAAAAAAAAAGGAATCCTAATGTAAATATCATGAAATAAAATTTGATCCTATCCATGGGGATTCTGTAAATATTCTGCTACAAAAAGAGAAATTTCTAAACAATTGGGATTTTAACTCATTATGTACAATGTAAAGTTCGTAGAAAATATATGTGCTGGTACAAAAAATAGAAGTATATTCAAAAAGCTCATAACGCACCACGGATAATGTGTTAACGTGTAAGCTCCCATTAGCACCGTTCCACACGCACGTTTTATTCTTAAAAATACAATTCCAACTTCTTTGTTTAAAAGCATTCAAAATCAATTTTTCATGTAACAAGATCGATCTCCAAAACTCTTACAAAAGATACGAAGGTTAAAGATTAAGATAATACCAAATTGACCGAACTCCCATTGGAAGTGTTCCACAGACGCACGCACACAAAATACACATACCGGATATGGGCATGTATGCATGTTTGCATAAAACTTAATTATTTTATAAATATGTTTTCAGTTACTTTGACATTAAACTAGGTTACTAACTACTCCCAAAGGTCCCCTTGTTAATTTGCAAACACCATCACAGACGCTGTTCCCAAGAGCATCAAGTTCAGCACCGAAAGCAGTTAAAAATCTGTCCTCGGTAATGGTAAACTTTAATTAAAGATTAGTCAAATGGCACGTTAACCCTTTAATCAATCATATACTAAGCCATAAATCGAATATAAGCAAATAAGGTTGTTAATCTAACGAGGATACATATATCAAAACGAAAGGCTAAGGAAAAGGTGGGGAACCATGAAATGCAAATTTGACAATTAAGAGTTCAAAATAATTATAAGAAAGTAGACGTCAGACCAATGAACACCCACATGGACTCAACTCCTCCAAGAGAGAAAACGAATGAAGAATATGAAGAAGGCAGGAGAGGGTAATATAGAGAAAAATAGAAACAGAGGGCTCTCAAATGTTTACAGCTAACGAATCACAATATTGAACATCCCTTTTGTCCTTTACTCTTCTTTTTCTTCGCCTTCGGCGGTTGAAGGACAACTTTTATGGCTTCATCAAAGACTGCCTTCACGTTCTGCCATCAAGGTCAGAAGTCCTTTTAAAACTAGATATTATTGGAACTAACATATTGAAAAAAAATTTAAAACTTGATTTCAACCACGTATGTACCTGCTGTGTTTTCGAACTGCACTCAATGTAGGCAGGTGCATTAATCAGCTTCCGAAGCTCTTCGCCCTTCAAGGAGGATACAAAATTACAAATGTCAGATCGGACTGAAATTAGGATACTGTATTTTCCAGTTACATCTGGTGCCCTAATCTTGTTCTGGTTTGGGATACTAAATGCACTATAATACCCCAAAAAAAATAACATTACGGTGCTGGATGCCAATAGAAAATTAACGTCAAAGTGTTAGATACTACTTTAACTTTGAAATTACCTAAAAGCACTGCAATAAATATAATTTAGGGGAAAGGAAAGAGTGCTGCAATAGTAGAAGCATGAGAGCTACATTCACCTGAGCTGTGGTGATGGGTACAGCACCAGGATGGTCTATGAAGAATTGTTTATCATCCCGAAGGTCTGCCTCATCACAGATCAAAGAGCAAAAAGACTCAGTTGAGAAAATCATCACTATAATATGCTCAGACTACTAAGGAATTTCATTAAAATAGACAGTACTAATTTCAGATAATTTCTCTTTTGAGGTAAGCTCAAGAAATGCCATTTACCTATTTATTTCAGGGCTTCATGCAAGAAACCCTAAGAAAGCAACAAAGCTAAGTACTCCTGTACCCTATGTTTCTGAAACGCTAAGAAAAAGAAGCTCAATAGTCCTAAACCCCAACTGAAAGGATGGTGCTGAAACTTCAGCAAGTATGATAATATCAAAGGAACCTCGTAACATATCGTCCAATTTGTACCTCTAGTCCAAACTATAAAAATTCTTAGAAAATACGAGGGTTAGAAAGCAATTATTCAATCATCAGTATCTATCAAGAGAGATGCAGATGTAAAAGCTTCTGAGAAGTTTGAATAACCCAAACAGAGCAGTTCTGTAGAGCCATCATTACAAATTACAAATTAACAATGGCAATATCCATCTATATCACTTGGCACAGGAGCGACTCAACCGGGCAACCTCACCAAAAATCTTGGGGTTGGCAACAAACCACCAAGATTCATCCATTTTCTACTTAATTCATACTAACATTCTCCATCAGATGTCTCAAATACACCCACCATGTGTTATCACATTCACATCCATTGCCACTTCTATTGCCACCGCAAGTGAATATTGCAAAGTGGTCAGCAATCAATAGCCAGCTCTCCCTCAACTCCAAAAATTTCAATTGGAACCATCCTTAACTTTTACAAGAGAGCACACATTTAGGTTAAAGCAAGATTTCAGTGTGGACAAATGAGCTATGAATTAATGTAAGAAGCTAGAATGTATCCTGCGAAAGCATCCTTTGATAACGTGCTATTGGCATACTAATTCAAAGGCGATTTCGACTCTGCCAGTACCTCTCTCCTGTTATCAGTTATCCTCAAAGAAAACTGCAAGTGCAATTTGACAAATCGTGTTCCCTCAACAAATCAAAACATCATATGAACTAACTGGCAGATTATTTGGACATAATAATAATAATAATAATAATAATAATAATAATAATCCACATCTAGAGACAGGGAAATAAGTGGCAACAAGAACCCTTGCCCTTTTCGGCAAACAAAAAGAACCTGTTCAGCAACTCATTAGTCAGATAAAATGAACATTATAAAAAGGTTATAAACCAAAAATATCATTGATGCCATAAATGTCTGTGTTAATAAAACTTTCCATAACTTGTAAGTTATATAGTCTCATCATAACAAGAAGCTAAACACATAATTGACTAATATACTCAAGTAAATCCACTAATAAATATATGGTATTAGGAAATGAAAAATCAATTCAGGCCCAAGTAACTTACCAATTTTTGTGCCAACCAGAACGACTGGGACACCAGGTGCATAGTGCTTCAACTCTGGGATCCACTGGAAATGAAACCAACACATTAACCATGTATCAGAATTCTTTCAGTAATTATAACTTATTAGTGGGGATCAAAATCAGTATACTATTTCTTATCAGTCATTTATAAACCTTATATTCAAAGGAGATAAAATGCATCCAAAGCATAAGTAGTTTACAAGAAGCATAAACTTTGGCATATAATGAAAGTACCTTTTTGGAAACATTTTCGTAACTGGCCTTGCTTATCAGAGAGAATGCCAATATGAAAACATCGGCACCACGGTAACTCAAAGGTCTTAATCTGTTATAATCCTCTTGTCCTGTTCCACAAAATAACACAGTAAATCCAGAAGAACTGTTCCCTTCATAGTGTGTACAAAAATAAAGGTAATTACTAAACATTACCAGCAGTATCCCACAAACCCAAATTGACAGTGCTTCCATTAACAACCACATTTGCACTGAAATTGTCGAAAACAGTAGGCACATAATCCTGATACCAATACAAGGCATGGGAGAAAATAAAATAAGAATTTTTTGTCTTTTCCAATGAGCTTTCAAATATAAAATCAATTGCAGTTCTTACAGACATTTCACCGGATAAGATAACAATTAAGTGCAGTTGCAACATGTAAAGAAAGAAAATGCAAAATATTCATTCAAAAAACCCCACCGTTAGTCCATTTACTTCTCTAAATAACACTCCATCTATGATTGCCTGTTCATATTTGCCCAAAATAGAAAAGATTATAGTTTGTCAAAACAAAGCCTCATGGGCCAACCATATAGCAAACGGTGATCAATTCATTGTTAACTTCCAAAGCCCAAACATAATCCTTTTTATCCATTGAAGGAGTTGAGAAGCATCATATGTTTTTCTGAAATCCCCCTAAATTTTATTCTAACCACAAGATCAAAATGATGGACGAATCCACGTTACCACAAAGAAGAGAGAAGATGACAAATTTTCACTTCAATATGTTTTACCAAACGATTTCTCTAAAACAAATGGAGAGAATCAACAAACCGATTAATTCTAGTTCTCAATCCCAGGCTTCGTTGAATAAATGGGGGGAAAACAAAAGAAACAAAATCTTGAAGATGTTTCAGACCTCTAACTCTGCTATCATATATTCACTTTAATGGTGGAACCACAACACAGTGTTAGGGGTTGCAACTTAATTATTAGCTAGAAGTTAGACAAAATTATCAATTCAAAGATATGTATTAAAATAAATATAATAGGAAATATATATATTATTCTTGTTTTTTCATTCCTACTCACAGGGTGGTTAATAACAATAATATGGCTCTAAGTAGGCATTAGAGATAAAGATTTTGTTCATAATATTTTGATAACAAGCAATATGTTGTTAACAAGCAATATGTTCTTATTCTTATTTTCTAGTCAAAATTAGAAAATTTGTAATTATTTAATTTACAAATATTTTAGAGAATAACAAGCAATATGTCGTTAACAAAATCTATATCTTAATAATTATAATAAATTAATAATACCGCAAAAAATATAAATAAAAGCAAAACTTTATATCCACAAAAAGCAATAAAATGACCACTTATTCAAAAAACAAATGGAGAGATACATCTTTACTGATCAAGCAAGCATCACGCACAATAATTAAACGATGGGATCTGGAATTCAAATCAAATATCACCAAAAGGAAAAACAAATCATCACGTAGACAATATTAATTTATTAATATGAAAGAAACTATCTTAACCAAAACATATTTATAAAAAAAAAATAAAAAACAACTTTGTTTTGAGAAAGAAGAGAAGTAATATAGATGGACAAAAAGACAAATCTTCGATTTTCAGTTTACTCTCCCATTGGCACCTGCTATTCTGTGTCTTAATTTCATTGGCACAGAAGTGTGGCGTTTTCCTTAATCAAAAGTCTTTTTTTGTTTTTTTTTGTTTTTACCAGCATCCTTATTCCTTAATCAAAAGTCTAAGGGGTTCAAAACTCCAGGGTGCGCTATGCAATACAACAAAGATTAATGGATCTATATGGAAATTTTCCCAAAAGTACATCTGCCCCGATGAAGACCAAAAAAGCAGTAAGAACACCAAATTTTATATTATTAACAAAGCCGGCGATAACTGTAGTGCCCTAAAAGCCAAATTCCACTTCAAAGAGAAACAGACATATGGAAGGGAACAAAAAGGTAAAAAGAACTCACGGTGGGGAAGGTGTTGCTAGTATAGGAAATTAGCAAACACGTTTTGCCCACAGCTCCATCCCCAACAGTAACGCACTTTATGAACCTAGAAGCGCTCATTTTTAATAACTCAAAGCCTCAGATCTTCACCTGAGGACCCAATCGCACACCGCCCCAACTTCTTCTGTCGCTTCTGCTTCAATTACACATCTGTGGGAAGTACAATGAAACCCCAGAGAAAAGGAACAAAACTTCCATGTATCAAAAGAGGAAAAATAAGCCAAATCTTCCCTAAAGAATTCGAACCCTAATTGAGAGATGCATGAAGAGAAGACGAAAGGGTGTGTGGAAGAGTCAGCGACAAAAAAGAAATAACATTTCGAAGAAATCAGAAAATGCCAACCCTTTTGGAGAAGATGGAATCATGCATTTCAGGGGATCAGAGAGTAGCACGAACCCTTTTGTCCGGGAAATGTTGCCGTTGAAGCGTTCATTGAGCTCACCAATTTTCGCCAGAATTTCCGTCAATTTGTGTTCTAATAATTTATGTTTTTTTCCCCACAATTTATGTAATTTGTGTAAATGATTTCAGTTTTTATTTTTTAAAAAAAATGCTGCAGCAACAGTAATAATAATAATAAGAAGTCAAAAATCCCATCTAAACAGAAAATGTTATTAAAAATATGTAGAGTATAAATAAAGAGTAGAAGAAGAGTAATTATAAACATAAGTAAAGAGCATTAATTAAAAAAATATTAAAAGATAAATGCCTAGATATAATAAATAATGTTAATCCATATCAATAAAAAGTATTAATAAAAAAAGTTTTTTTTTGACCAGCTAATAAAAGATGTTATTAAGAGCTACATGCCTAAAAATATTAAATAATATTCATCCAACTATATTAAGTGAATAAGAATTTCATGATTATATGTGTTCGAATCCCCATTAACAAAAAAAAAAAATTGCCCGCGTTTAATGTTCGGTATTCATGTTCTTGGAATCCATCAACATAAGTGGTTGAGTCTATCCACTGAAAAGAGTCTTCTAAGCTCAACCTCTAGAGTTTTTGAAAAAGGAGCTAACCTAGGACTAGAGGGGGAAAAATGTATGCTTCTTTGATTATATTTATAGGATAAAATAAAAAAAAAAGATTTTTTAGTTCTATTTATAAAATATTGAGAAAATTTTTTATATGAATATATAATTTTACCTCTCATTTATTATTATGTTGATTTTGTTTATATGAAATATAATGTATATTAAATAGTGATAAAGTTAAAAAGTTATTATATTTTAAATGAGAATTAATGAAATTTAAGATTTTAATTGGTCTGTGTAAAATGTACTAAAAGTATATTATAAATAGAACTAGAGAAGTATTAATCATGACACTAGCTTGCATACAATTTAGGGTCTGTTTGGTTGAAGGGGAGGCAAAATGAGTCCCTCCTCTCATTTGGTTAAAAATTTTAGAAGGGAGGAAAGCCAAAATGTCTCCTTCCCTCCATTTTAGCTCCTCCAAATTGGGAGTTTTTGAAGAGGAGCTAAAATTTTGGACCATCATACTCTTATGGTTTTTTTAATATTCCACTACTATCCATAAAATATATTATTATAATATTTATTTTAAATAAAAAATATATTATCCTAAGTAAATAAATAAATAATATAAATTATTATAATTAAAAAATATATTATAAAAAAATTAATTAAAAATAAAAATTTATTTAAATAAAAAATTATAATATTATAAAATTAAACGTTTTTTATAAATATATTATTTATTAAATATATTTTAGAGCTGAAAAAAGGATAGCCTAAAGAGAATAAAATTTCATTTTTCTTAGAACATATAAAATTTATTAATTTAATTATTTTAAATATATTATCATATTAATTAGAATAAAAAATTAATGTACCAATTTTTTAATGCACATATTAACATGATAAGACTGAATTTTCATTAAATTATATAATTTAAATTAAGATGTAAATTAATTTATATAATATATCAATAAAAAATATAAACTAATATATAAGGGTAAAATGATAAATTGCTTATTACTATCCCTCCCCTCTCCTTCTTGAACCAAACAAGGGATCATTAAATATCCTTCCTTCCTTCTTTCTCAATCAAACCAAACAAAATGAGAATAAAACCTCCATTCTTCTTTCTTACCCCACCCTCTCTTACCTCCCCTCAAACCAAACAGGCCTTTAGTTGAGAGGGAAGGGGAGGCTTGGTGCAAAATATCTAAATTTATGTTTACATCAAAATGGGAAACTCTTCGGCTTTTGGTGCGTCTACCTAATGATTTTCTTTCCACTTCAAATTGCAAATGTTAATGGTGCCTGCCTTTCTTTTAAATTTAAAAGGCAGAATCTAAATAGTAAAACCAGGTTAAGTTAGGTGGTCTTGAAAATCATAGCTTTTCCCTAGCAGAAAAATCATAATACAAACTTTGGTCTTTTAAATTTGTTCTCATTATAGTTTTAGTTCATCAAATTTCAAACTATAAATTTTGGTTTCTTAAATTCTTTTCATTTAAAATACTAGTCCTTATAATCTAATAAAAATATTAGTCTTTATAATCTAATAAAAACTAGAACTATTTTGTCCTTTGAAAGACTAAAATCTATAATTTGAAACTTGAGGAACCAAAACCAAAATAAGAACAAATTTGAAGAATAAAAAATTATATTAATCCTAAAATTTACCAGAAGATTACTACTGTTCATAAAAAATAAATTATTTATATATATTTTATGAACTCAAATTAATCCCACTCCAATCTCAATCTTACAAAATAATGATGATTTTTAAAATTCTTAACATAATTTTCTAATATCAAAATCAAAATCCTTCAATTCAATTAACAAACGTATAAATGGAAAAGCAAAAGTCGTCGTTATCTTTTTTTTTTTTTTCCCCGCTTGGAAAAGTAATCTTCATCTTTGTCAATTCCTCCATCTTATTATAAATAGAAGCGAAAACATGGGTTTTTTGATGCTGAAAAAAAAACCAAGCCATTATAAATGGAAGGGGGAAACATGGAGAATTGATTGAAGCTGTTTCAAATTATAGTTGCAGCAAGTTAAAAAAAAAAAAAAACGGAAACATGAAAAAATATACTATTTCCAATCCTTAATATAATATAAAAGCCATTTAACTAATTTGAGTGGATTAAAAAAACTTAGTTAATTAGTTGTTTGTGATAAATATGTGTTGTCTTTTCTAAAATATTCTTTCTAATCATGTGTATTAGTTACAACTACCATATGATGAAACATTTGATATGTGATTGTTATAAGAATTATCTTGAGAAAAATAGATAAATATGAGAGATAAAGTAGATTGAAGTTTTATTAAAAATCAATCTAGTTTTTATACTAAGATTAGGGTAAATAACCTTGGTGAAATGTAATAAATTAGCATTTTATGATAAGACATGGGGCCGTTTCGCACTAAATTTTGATCATGCACTCCAATCACATCACATAACACCATAAAAGTATAAATAGAATGAAATATACACACGTATGAAATAATGACTCTTGTGGCCTGTGGGTTGTAAGCGGTGGTTTCGAGCTCTGATTATCTCAGTTCATTATTACTAATGCAATTAACAGAGAGAACTGAAACTTGACGCTCAATTGCTTCCATTTACTTATAATAGCATCAACCCACAATATAGCGTTGTCACTGCTAAGAGCTTGTTTGTACCTGCATTTATTAAGTATTTATAAGTATTTTTACATAACCCGACACAACTCCTATCATATACTTATTTTGTATTTCATAAATTACAATTATTATTTTTTTATACTAATAATGGGGTGTTTGGATGGCATGAGAAGTGCTTTTGAAAAACATTTTTCCGCAAATCGAAATAAATTTCTCCACATATTTACTTTGTATACTATAAAATTACTTCTGAAAATTACAATTTGGCTTCCGTCTAAATACCTCCTACATTACAATTAAAGGATGACCTACAAGACGTTTCAAATAAGCTTTAAATGTAAAGCCTTGCGAGTAGGCCCATCAAAGTTTTGTTTGGGGCTTGAGGCAGGAGAATGGAAGCTCTATTTGGTTAGCCGGAGTCAAGTTCAGAGGCCAAGATAGTATGGGGATTGGGAGTTCTAAATTTGGCTAACATGAACGAGGCTTCTTTAATTCCCGTTTGGTATGAAGTATTTGGAGGCATGGGTTGAAATTAAAATTGAAAAAGCCTACTGAAAAAGTATTTGATTTGAGGATTGCTTATAATTTGAATTGGGCAAATTCATATTAGTGGGTGTTAGAATAAATAGACAATGGATCGAAAACGTACCGGGTCAAATCTCGGGTCAGGTCGGTCGGATTTCCTTAACTCACGCTTAAACTAGACTATAAAAGTCTAGGCTTTTAAGTGCACAGCAAAGCACCTCTTTGTAAAAAAGAAATAAGAAAGAGAGAGAGATAGTAAGAAAGCTCAACTACTGGAGTGATTTGAACTGATGGGGGGAAGCCTCTATTTATAGCTTTTGTCAGGGGTATTTTGGGTAGCCAAAAATATCCACTGAACCCATCAGATAAAATCTGAGATAGGATATATAAATATATCCTTATCTCATAATATCATGATATTTGAATTCAAATCCAGAATCAATCACAATTAATTCTAAATATATATATTTAATATATATTTAATCTACACAATATAAATTAATTAATTTATTATAAACTAATCAGATTTATATTGTAATCGATTGGATATGATTCAGGGTGTTTGACCAAGTCAACATATCACAATATCACTTGGATATTTGACTGGTATATTTCTTTATACCCGGTCAAATAATTCGGCCCATTAAGGGCGGATCCAAGCCCAAAATCTAACATCTCCCACTTGCACTTGATGAGCTGCCCATCATGCGATAGCTAAATCTTTCATTGCTTCATACTAGGTGTCTGCCGTGACCACGTGGGCATGACGTCATCGATTCGGGCACTTGTGCATTAGGAATCCTTTATGCAGGACTAGCACACAAGAACACCCTTGGTGTACCTACAAATTGTATACTTGTTGCCTCGAATGCCCTAGTTTTATCCATACACTTTACTTGTGGCATATCTAATCCCTCTCGAGTTATTTTGTTTACTCAGATTGCCTTCCCATACATATGGTATCCACACTTCTTAGTTGTTCTGTTCAACCTGCAAGGGACATGTCACAGACACCAACATAGATGTGTATTTCAGGATAAATCTTCCTTCTGACTATTCATCATTTAGATTTGGCATAGTCGCTTTCCTAGTCTTGACCCGTTAGATCGCATCATTCTTGACCATGGGGTTTAGGCTAGAATAGCTGT